GAGCTCCAAATGTAACATCCCATCTCCGGTAGGACCAAGCCAAATGGGAACATTCGAGTAAAGAGCCTTTCACAAAGACACGGAACATTCGAATCGAGTAAAGTGCCTTTCACAAAGACACGGAACATTCGAATCGAGTAAATTGCCTTTCACAAAGACACGGAACATTCGAATCGAGTAAAGTGCCTTTCACAAAGACACGGAACATTCGAGTAAAGTGCCTTTCACAAAGACACAGAACATTCCAATCGAGTAAAGTGCCTTTCAAAAAGACACAATGTCGGACCAAGATGAGCCTCAAACCCAGGAACCCACAATCTCACAATTATAAATCCGGTAGCCTAATCTCCAGACTCATCAACACCATTATATATACGTTTAAGCAAAAAAGAGTGAGGAGGGAAGGGGGGGGGGGCTGTTTTAGTAAGGTTTTACGGTGCTTGCAACTGTATGAGGTCATATTATGAACTCCAAGGGGTGAAAGTCAACAGAGAAGCCCAAACCCGGAATCAGGCTTACTCTGCTCACCTCTTTAGCCTCAACAGCACAAAGTCGGCTTCGACTATCAAGGCACCCCGGAAATAGCAGTTCACAAGAGAGTGACAAATATACAAAAGAAGTAGAGGAAAAATGATGAAAGTACGGATGAGGAAAGAAAAAGCAGCAGTTCACTCCATGTTGTTCCGTCACAGTATGAGCATGACATCGATAAATCAGCCCATTTACAATTCTAAAGTGCATAAGAACATGTTAACATGCAATCACATTGTTCTTCTGTGGGAGAGAGACCCTACAAGGTAAAAGAACAGGCTGGTCATAAGCTGCCAAGACAAGAGTGGTGGTTAAAATCCACATGGAAACAGCGTATGTACTAAAACGATATACACATACAGTTGTAAAAAAAATATTTTATTCAAACATAAATTAGTCAAATCAAGTAAGATTAGATTAACATCAACATTTATAACAAGGAAGAAAGACAATAATAATAATAATAATAATAATAATAGATAGCATTTGTATAGCGCATATCCCCGCTCAACAGCAGGCTCTATGCGCTTTACACTATATTATTACCCCAGCAGACCATAGAACATTCCGAAACATTCTCAGCTTCCCGGGAAGCATACAGTGCAAGCAGCCGATTAAGCGCTCAAACACTAACAAACTGACAAGATCTTTCGCTGTCTATAGCCGGGTACCCATTCCCACCTGGGTGAAGTGAGGAAAATTCGTGTAAAGTGCCTTTCCCAAGGACACAACGTCGGGCCCCTGACGGGATTCGAACCCACGACCTTACGGTTGCGAGTCCGAGAGCCTAACCACTAGGCCACCGACGCCACAATCAGTTGCATAGAGACATGCTGGGTATGTGTAGCACACCATTCACACCCACCATCAGATTTCTTCTTCTTTTCCTGCAGCCGCCCGCCAGATCACAAGGTAATCAACAACAGCACAGATCTCTTTTTCAACAAACTGCAACTAATTTGTACACGATTGATTTTCGTAACAAAAAACAGTACCTTTCCAGTCAGGCAGCTGTGTGCTGTTTTTAATGATATCCTTGTTAATATCAACCAGAGTTTAATTAGTATAGTATAAATAGAAATAAGATTTTTTAAAAGAATTTTTCTCAGACAAAATGTTATACTCGGGTGGTAGACCTAGTTTCTGTTCTTTCCCTCAGTTGTTTCCGTCTACTTGATTTTTTTTTTCCATGCACTGAAAGTCAGTTATGATGTCGATGTATTTCTCTTTGCTAGAAATTTTCTAAAGATACGTTAACATATGCAATGAGCGCACAGGACCTCTGAAATCGTTAATCTTATCCAGGAACATTGCCCGACTGAAAGTCCACTTCCTCATACCCTTGGATGGGGGGAGTGAAAAGGCTGAGCAAACAACATGAATTGCATACCACACTAGCATGAATCAAGGATTGAACAAAGTGCTTTGGCACATGCGATAATCATGTCTCAACTAGATTCAACTGAAGCAGTTCACAGTCCAGTAGTCTAAATTCGCAGTCAAGACCCACACTTTTCCTTAGACCACTTTCCCATACATTCATAATAAAGATCTATTTGTTTTCAAAGAACGAAAGGAAAAAACAAAAAACAATCATTGCTGGCAACGCAGGGCACCTCTTTGACTTACACAATCTATTCAGAAATAAAGTTTATCTACCATAATTTCAAGGGGCTCTCATGGTCGAGAGGTTAAGGTGTTCGCCTCCATTCAATAGGTCGTGGGTTCAAATGCGGTCCCGTATACAAGTTGCACACGTTAAAGATCCCTAGTAGGTCTAAAATTGATAAGAAAAGCTTTCAGCCGCAACCCGAGCAAAATTCAAAATTTCCTACCAACTTAAATGTTTAGTGTGTCCCGTGCGCTCATATGAATATGACCTTATGCAGTTGCGAGCGCCATAAAACATTTAGCAACACAAAAAAAAGTTGCTCAAACATTTCAATCTTGTACATTGTTAGTACTATTTACAACTTTTCAACTCTGTATCAAAGTCACCTGCAGATCAACTAATCATGAACAGCTACCTAAAGTACAACTCAAATAAAACTTCATTTTTCTGAAAATGTCTTAATACATTAACGACCATATGTACGAAAAAATGAACTCAGGAAGTTCAACCTTACTGTTCATTTTCAGTGGTAGTGCAACAAGGATAAAGTTTTGAGCAATTTAAACATATTTTGCCATACAGTAGTATACAATTTGTTATGTCAACCATCATAAAACTCACCTCTCTCAAACGGTCCCCGTGGATTTATGCACCCCACATAATTTAGCAAAATTTAGCTTTTTTGCATAATTTCTGATTATTTTCCTTTATCATTCTTTGTTAAAATTAACAGAATCGCATAATATCACATTTTTAGGCTCAGTTTGCATAATTTCAGAATTTTCCTTGCATAAAAGGGCGGGGACAGCTCAAAAGGACTCAAGAACAAAAACAATTATTTCCCTCTACAAATTAAATATGCTTTGATTTTTAATCATAGTCTAAGCAAACATTTACATACCCAACAAACATAGATTGTCACAAGCGTCGCCCAGATGCCACAAAACTCTCAGCATCTTTCCAACAGGGCTAAGTTCTCAAAAAAATATTGGCACCCACCTCAAAAACGATGGTCTCATCCAGAACCGCACAAAAAGCACAGTAACATCAAGCTGGCAGTGTCTTAATTTATTGCAAAAATATTCAACACCGCTACTTGCGCACCAAAACTATTTTCTATCAAAACTGAAAAAGTCCAGATCACGTTGGCACCAAGAAAATGGGAAAAGTTACACATGACAT